AGAGGTGCAGACGCGTTTACTGGTGTTGAACACATTTTTTGGGAAAGCCCTGTCAACACTACTAGCAAAAGTTCGGGGAACTTTGCGCGAAAGTTATGTTTCGTAAACATATTTCTGTGTGGACAAGGCCTTCCATTCATAAGAAATGAACGAAAAAATTATGATTGAACAAACATAAATGTGGATTAATGATGTTAACTTCCGCCGCCGCGCCTCGCAGACCGCACTGAGTTTGACGCCATGCGTGAAGTATTCACGCTGTCTTGTAGGCGCTATGCGTCTCACGCTGATCGCACTGTGTTTGCCGCAATGCGTGAGGTATCCATGCATTCTTGTAGCCGCTATCCGTTTCACGCTGTCCGTAATGACCGCACTGTGTTTGATGCAATGCGTGAAGTATTCGTACAGTCTTGTAGGCGTCAATATGTGTCACATGCCCATCGCCGCGCCGAGGGCTTCTCCTTTTCATCTCAAGTCCTCGTCATCATTTCTCTCTAGGTAAGTCGCGCCGTTCCAGGCCAAATTGCGCGTGTTTAGTTTCTCTCTTAACTCGACTAATTAAAGGTGCTGCATCTTATATCACTGAAAAACGACAAAAGTAGAAATTACTATACTTCCAGAAAATTAGAGATTTTGTCGCCTTTTCTCGTTAGTAATTTTTTTTTTCTAAATCCGAATTTGTTTTATACCTGCATTTAAAAAAATTGCAAAATTTGCCGCCCCCTATAGATTTGCCGCCATGGGCCGCGGCCCATGTGGCCATCCCCTTAATCCGTCCCTGATGTACGGACTTTGGAATTTTTTCATTCATATTTTGCATTTTTTGGAATGATAAAATTAAATCATTGTAGGCGGCAATTCCTCACAAGAGCCTATTTTCAGCTTACATATTTCATTTTTCTGGAATCACGTAAAAACTCCTTTTTGAGCACTTACATTAACGATTTTATAAAGCCTCCCATAGTACAATTGAAACCTTTAGACTTCCGTGCGGGCCGAATGTTGAAATTTGATAGACACAGCGATAGTGACAGAAGATAAAGAGAGAGTGGATCGCGCGAGCCAAATGGTAGATACGAGTGGTTGTTAAAGACCAAGTGGGAAAAATGATGGACTAATTTTCATTGTATGGGGTTCTTTGCGGGTTGCCGTCATAGTTGGTCGATTCTTTATACCTTCTTCCATTGGAACTACCAACATCCACCAACAAGATCGCACTCTTTCTTTTTGCCTTCCTTGTCTATAGCTTTGTCTATCAATTCCAATAATCAGCCCATGGAGAGGATGAGCTGATTAAAGAAAGACCAGAAATGCAACACCTCGTAGATCATCATATGTATTACATTTTGAAATAAGGAACCACTATCTCTGGCTCTCCCATAAAAGCACATATCTGCATAAGGAAACCAATGGCATGTATGTATGTTGTCTCTAAAATGGGCCAGAAATAGTGGTTCCTTATTGCAAAATGTAATCCATATATCATTAACCCCTATTGTAAAATTACTATATCGACGGTGAAAGTCGGCAATCACATAACTCGTTTGCGGTGTCTGAAAATCTCCGCCTCTACGTCATTTTTTTAAAGGAGAGCAAATTGATATTATTTCTTGAAGTTTTTGCAGAATTTTCTTCGCATTGAGAAGAAAAATCATGACAGTTTTAAAGAATTGCCGTTGAGTAGTTTTCCATTTAAAACATAAAGTATGACAGGAAGTCTGCGACGTCGCAAATCCAGTTATGTGATTGCCGACTTTCACCGTCGATATACTAAACAACTCACAGCCCTCCATAGAAGACATGCGGTTTTTTTTAACTCCATCTGCAGATAGGATAGATCTTCTCTGAGAAATCATGTTTAACCGAGAGATTATTGTTTAAAAAGCGCAATCAATCCGAGCATCGAATTGTTGCTGTAAGTTATTGGTCCATTGATAGTATATTAACCCTGGCGTGGGGCGATGATGTCAAACTGTGCCATAATATTCTTACGCACATCGAGAAACGGGGGAAATTCTCGCGGGACGGTGTTGCGGGGCCCGATTCCCATATTAATACCGGCATTTCGCTGTGGGTAGGCGCACTCGCAGTTGTTTTATTAGCCTGTCCATCGTTGGGCACCAGGCGATGGTCATTCTGACGCGACCCCGGCGCGCTGAGCTGCCCAACACCAGTTCCACCATCAGATTGTCAACTCTGATTGTTGCAAGAGGCAACAGGGGGCCATTACCGGGGGAGGGGGAGCGGCTGAAATGCCCATCGCCGGGGAAGAAAAACTATGCTGTCGGAAACATCGAGGAACGGGATTCTATGGTTCAATACCAATTTAGATTAAAAACGAAACGAAACAAAAACATGGCAAGTCAAAGGCTGTGTCGCGTGATAACCAGGGGTTATGATGGTTTTTCAATAAATCGCATTACTTATTTTTCTATTTCATTTTTCATGGTCTGTAATTTCGAATATGTTAAAGAAACACATTGAGGTACTTAAAAAAAAAAATCACGGACGGCTCACCACACCATTCTTCGTATTAAAAAGCTCCTATAGATTTCCTGGCCTCTAAGAGTTTGATCTTCGGTAGCAGGATATTATAGATCCCAGTCAAAATTTAAAAAAAATGTAAAAGAAAAATAAACTATGGAAAAAGCATGTATTGTGAAGTGCTCGATGAAACTCAATTTCTGTTTCATTTAAGTAAAGAATTGTGCGCACAGATATGTTCCGTGACATGTTTTCAGAAAAACTGAAAAACTTGTAGGGAGAGAGCTAGTCGAAAAACATTACCAATGAAAAAATAATAATAGTAAAACTCAATTTGTTGTGGCACAATTCAAGTTCATATTTTTTTTAGGTCTAATCGATTTCTTCAACTTTAACTTGTGTTTCTCAAAACTAAATTAATGTTACTGCACTGATCAGTATCACTGAGACTTATCGAGACAAGTCGGATTCAGAGAGGTCTTTGCCCCTCCCTCTTCGACCCCCCAATTGGCTCAATAAAAAGGAATTTTTTGCGATTTTTAAAGGCATTTAACGTTGTAACACCCTGCCTCGTTGCCCCTGCCACCCTGTCTGACCATGAACAATGAATGTCATGAGCCCCGCTCCCCACCCTTTAAAAACATCTCTAAATGCACTCAACACATCGGTGCACTAGCCTCCTCAAGATTAAATGTTACGCATTAGCGAATCCAGACGTTTCGAGCGAGGGGGGCGGATTTTTCCTTGACCCTACCCGCCGTGGCAGGGGGTTTGGAGGGTGCAGAGTGCCCCCCAGGAGTATCTTCGAGGTTTTTCCGGGAGAACAGGGGGAGGGACGCGTGCCGCCCCCTCTGTTCCCCGTAGATTCGCCTATGCGTCACCTTGCGTAAAGAATAGTTTATCTTCCTTCACCTTGATTCAATTATCTTTTTCTCTGTCTGCTTCTTTAAATTTTTTCGCGTTAATGTGATTTCGCTCTCACTGATTCAATTGACAATTCTACTGCGCATTCAATTTTGCTCTTTATTCTTATGCTCGTATTGTGATCAGCCAATCATTAATCATTCTGAAAATTGCGCGCGATCGTTACTTTAAAAAAATCTCAACTTGCGTTAAACTACCGAAAAAATTAAGTGCAATTTTTTTTCTTTTTTTTTTCCTAAATATTTTCAGCGAAAGCTCAACTCAGGAGTTCTTGAATTTCTCGATCGAGTCACGTGATCCCCGTCTCGATCCCAATTTGCGGAACCTAAAAATCGACTGGATCGTCAATTTGGCAGCGTCGAGCCACCTCGAGCCCGGGAGAGAGATGCTATCTCTCCGAAGTGGCCATAAAATTATTCTGCCGACAAATTAACCCCACTTTACATCTGTAACTCGAATATATCTCCTGCTCCTCGCGTCGCTGAGGACCCCCTCCCCCTTCAAATCGCGCCTTTTTATTGACCCCACTCCTCCTCTCCACTCTCGGCACGCGGGTGGCTGTGTTTAATCAAAGTTGCACCGTTGGATGTTGAAACGTCGCACGTCTCTTTTCTGATGAGCTCTGAGGACCGTAAGGATACTTACAGTCCAGGGCTCTTCAAATACCCTGACTACTCAGTTTCACAACCACTGATTCAGTTAATGCCGTTGAAAGTTCAACCCCCTTCCCTCCTCCTCCACCTGAACCAACACCAAAATACTGTCGTTATTATCGTCGCGCCTCACCAACTAACAAGAAGGGTCCCGATTAAGCGTCTGAACCCGCATTATAGCGACGAAACATGTGTAAGGTTATGTTAGGTGGTTGGCACCCTGATAAAAAATAGTTTGGACAATCTGGACAACATTGTAACAATACTCGTAAACAATTAAACCGGTGCAAGAGGCCGGATTTGAAGATTGAAACAAAGTTTATTATATGAATGGTGCATATGCGGGAAGTGCGTTGCAACTGTGTTGTCGCATAGCGCCGTTCCTCAGACGAAAGAACGTAACTTCACTTCAATGTTGCAAAATTTCCATCTTGATATTGAATTCTTATTGAAAATTTATATATTGGACGATTTTAAATAAAAATTACATCGATTTTTCTCTGTTTAGGTACACGCTAAAGTCAATTAAACTTTGAATAGATATTGCACAGACACAGACATGTTTTGATAAAAAATTAAGTTGTTAGAGTCAATTTTGTAACGTTGGAATGGAGTCGTGTTCCTTCGTGTTGGAGACCGACGACAATAGAGAGATTTAAGGTTATTGTTATAATTTGCCTATTCCGTGCGTGATTGCGGATATCGGACCTATCTCAGAACTTGATGCGTGTTTTGCACGTACCAATTTTTACTGAGAGTCGCGAGTGTAAATAGGTAAGGTGAATATTCGAGGCATTTTTAGTTACCTTCCCACCATTTCTGGAACATTCAATTGATAATTTTTGGATTTTGAGACATGTTTAAAAAAATATCCGATATTCACATCACGTTGTAGTAAGTCAGGTGCTCTTATTGCTCGCGCACAAAAGTTGCCTGAGAAACACTTTAAAACAACAAGATTTATTTGTCTTTCGATTTGCAATATACTAAGTACATTCGTTATTTCTGAAATGAGGCTGTAACAGTAGTTTTTGACTGGAAATAATAATCCAATTGTTTCAGTTTATAGTATTATTTTTACAGTCTAATCGTCAGTAAAACCAATAAACGAATCGCCCGACAACCAATATTGTCGTCGGACGACATTCATGTCCATCCCACGAGAGTCAAGTTTCGCACTTCGACACCTTTTGCATTTGCTCGCCTTCGTGTGATGAGAGTTCAATACTCCTTGGTAAATACCCAACCGATTCACGGAAATACGGTAAAATAGTGTTTAATGGATCCAGAAATAGCTCACACGGTGTCGCGTGTGAAAATGCTTTTCTTAAAAAACAATCCTTATTTATCGTTATTTAGGGGGAATTGTGATACCAAAATACGGAATAATAATAAAAAAATGACATAATTTCTTGACCACCTCACCGACGTGTGTAGGCCACTGAGTACCATTCCGAACCATTATCCACCTAATAGAACTGCTCCATAGTCAATAGTCCAGACTTCAACCGCCAATTTATGTTTTAGAATAATACCTACCTCCTTATTCGGCACCTTAACAGATACTTTATTTGTGCCATTTACTGACCGCTTTTTGTCGACGGTCAGATAGCCTTGTGAGAAAAGCATCCTCAAAAAAAGCTCCACACCCCCATCAGGCACTAGAGCCTCCCTCTGAAACATCCCGATCAACTTGATGTAATCGTCGGTTGTCAATGTCAAATTGGTCAGGTCGAGGTCACGCGCAGTGCCTTTCGAGATAACCGCTACGGCGTCGTTGATGTTCTCTTTATGGAAAAGAACTTCGAGGGGACCTAAATCGCCCTCCTCCTCCCAATAGGAGTGCGAAATCTGCTCCCGCAAATAGCGAGGCACCGAGTCGGAGTTGTGCAGAAGGGTCGCAGTGTTGGTCAAAGCATAGCCACCGTAGTAGGTTGCAACGTGGGTGTGTTGTGACGACTGGAGGTTGAAGGCTTTGCAAAGTTCGATTACCTCTTCAGTGGTAAAGCCGAAGTGATTGTAGAAGTCACTGTGGAGCATGTTGTGTTCTTGAAAATTGCCCAGTCTGGCGAAAAGTTTTTGGGTCTCGGGTCGCATCACACCTGCAAAGTGTGAGAAAACCTGTAATGAGCGGAGCTTAATACGTGAGATAAGGAAATTGGTGGGCAAGCCGCTTTAGAGCAGTTTTTGCTATTTCAAGAAATACGTGTTTAAAGTTTCAAAATACATACAGTCAAGGGTCGGACTGAGATCGCCTATCAAGGATATGCTGCGAATTCCGTATCTGTTATAGCCATGCACGGACATTTTTTTATCTAGATTATTACTTATTTATTTCTCCGTCATTATATTACTTTTCAATCTTCTGTAGCCTATTTAAGACTCCAAAGTTTTCAGGGTCGGACTGGCTCGCATCTGAGGGCGTAGACCCTTGGCTGGTTAAAGAGGCGTAATGTGATATTTCCTGGTAGGGCATTCCCTACGTGGAGAGGGGTTCAGAAAATTTTGGCAAATCAGCACAGGTTTACGCTATTTTCAGGTTCGAAGTTTATTGATCGCACGGAGTAAAAATTGCAAAATTGAACGTGAAGCACAGCACTGAGAGCTCACGCTTGGCGTCATCGCGCCTTCAATTTTTCAGATGCAGCACGGACGTCCATCAAGTACGAATAGTTGTATCTCTGCGCCGTCGTAGACACGCATCCTTTCCCTCCCTCTTTTTCCATATTGTTTTTGTTCCCGTTTGTCTTATTCGTAATGGTGCTTCAAGCACTACGTGAATAATACATCCGAAGGTAGGAGAGATGTATTCAGGCCTTTTTTAAACTTTTCTCCCGAATCAGAGCGACGCTTCATTGAGAGCATAAAGCAGAGCATTGAGAGCTCACGGTTCGCGTCATCGCGCCTTCAATTTTTCAGATGCAGCACGGACGTCCATCAAGTACGAATAGTTGTATCTCTGCGCCGTCGTTAACGCGCATCCTTTCCCTCGCTTTATTTCCATATTGTGTTTGTTTGCGTTTGTCTTATTTGTAATGTTGCTTCTAACTAGAGCAGAGCATTGCGAGTTTACGACTCACGGCATCGCGTCTTACATTTTTCATATGCAATGTGGACATCCATCTTGCGCGAATAGTTGTATCGCGTTTACATTTTAGATGTCTCTTATTTTTGAATTTCGAGATAAATTAAGGTTAAGTTTGCCTGAGCTATGCTATGGTACGTCCAAATCAATAATCATTTGAAAAGGAGAAAATATGTTATTAAAGGTCTCTTAATAGGTCTATAAAGGAAGCGTATGTCTAAAAATCGAACCGACCATTGCTTCTAAGGGAGTTACACATAGCGAATGAAGGAGATGGATGATAAAGCGCCTGTATGTCAAAAAGAAGGTGAAAATTTCACAGAAAATTGTTTACGCTTCAGAAAGTAGTTCTTGGACCTCTGTTCACCACTATCATGCGTTAAAGCACCTTTCTTTACTCCTAACTCTCTCTTCATCCGTTCATTTATGAAATTTTTCTCACATATTCTCGGTCGTAATTTTGTTTCCTTCTCATTTTGCTATCTGTAAGAGGGGCGCGTTTTCGGCGCGCAAAGGGGGCGTATTTGCCAATGGCAGATTGGCCTTACGGCCAGTCCGCGCCTGTGAGTTTTTATAATATGTATGTCAGAAACCTAGAAAGTCCCCTTAAGACTCAAATTTAGAATATACAGAGAGATATAGTTTCACCTAAGAATCACAAGTTTGGCAGTTACGTTTGTCACAAGTACCTAAGACCTTATCGATGTTATTTGCTCGGTCCTTCACTACTTGATGGGACTACAAGCATTGTTTTTCAAATTTTCATCACTCAGGTGCTTGATTTTGAAAGCGTCGTGTAATAATGAAATTAAGTGAATAATGACTTTATCTTACCTGTGATTAATGCCTTCACAAAGTGTTCGTTTTTCTCAAGTGCCTGCGCTATGAACTCCTGTATGTATTGCATCCCATAACTCACGTCTTGAGGGTTAATCTCGATGGACTCGGAAGAGAATAGACCAGTCATTATTTTATCAAAATCGTCCATGAAAATGAAAACTTTTTTACCCCAGAGCTCGTGAAGGCGCGCTGAAAGAAACGCCAGACCTTGAAGCACCTCTTTTTCGGAAGCCCTCTGTGTGTGCAATCTCACAAAAGTATCTAAATGCGTTTGGGCAATGGTCTGAAAAAAAAAATATGAAAATCATGACCAAATTGAAGTAACGATCTGAGAATTTTCAACATTCGTGCGCTCCTCATTTAAAGCGTGCTGAAGTGTAAGACGGATAAATTTCCATAGAACCTACAAAAACCATGAACCAACGAATTTTTTAGTTTTGGATTTATCATTTTAAGGATCTCTATTTACGGCAGGGCCGGAGTAGCCGAGGCGGTGGGGTGCCGTAGCCTTCTAAATCCCCTGGAACCTTTTTTTTTTTTTTTTTTTTTTTTTTTTTTTTTTTTTATCATTTGCAACGTTTTTTTCTGCGAATGTTCGGATCAATTTTTTGGGGGCCCTTGAAGTTTTGACGATTTTGGAGAATCGGAGATCCTGGAACTGGAATTTCAGGGATCATAGGGCCCGTAACATTTAAGGTTAATGCGAAGTAAAGGCATGTAAGACCCTTCGTTTCTTGGAAACGTGAACAGCCTTCAATTTACGAAGCATATAACCCGCAACGCGCGGGCCCTTATACCTGTCAGCACTCCAGCCAGGCCCCTGACTGAGCGCTAATCCGGTCGTAAATTACGGTCGTTTAGTCCACCTTACCGCTCAATATTTAAGGTCTACATCGTATCCTATTGATAACAAGATTTTCTTTAAGGTTTCTTGATGTATAGTTAGAGAACGTATCCCATGCCCAAGCACCAAACTCTGAGACAAAATTAATTGCCGATGCTAAATATAAACGAAGCAGTGAAATGCAAAAATTGATATTTTTCCACGTGTTTGAAATGTGCTTTCAGGTACATACTAATGTTTTTTTTTGTTCTTTTTAGAAAGAATTTATTTTTTTAAAATTCTGTAGCCAACTGGAAATGTCTGGATTTCCAGCCAACGCGTTGCGGGAGCTTGCGATTTGCATTTTTAGTCTTGCTAACCGCGGTTTTGTTTCATATATTACTGCATAATTTCCACCATTTTTTCATTTGGTCTTTGTCTCGGTATACTACGTAGATGCATATCTCACATGAGCTGACCTTGGTTGTGTGGTTGGTGTTGGGGCCGTTGATGAGCTGCCAGAGAATCTCGGGAAGGTAGAGATGTTCCTCGCAGGCGCGACCTACGACGACCCTTATGCCTCCGGTCACATCCTTGTAAGTGAGTCCGCCGGCTGAGCGAAAGGACAGGTGGATGACATGACTCTCGCCGAGGTAGCGCTCCATCAGTTTGTGATGTTTCGCGATTTCCAGTCTCTGGAACAGCCTGCCATCAGGGGAGCAATTCGTCAGGCCTGCCAATCATTCTTCCTCACTTTGTGCTTGATCCAAAAACAGTGTAATGCATTAGGAGCGAGCGAATGCACAATATAATTACTTAGGCATCAAACGGGAAGCCAATTGATATGTTTGGTAAAACTCAGCCCTCGGCCCTTTGGACCTAAATATCTGAGTGTGAGGGCACAATGTGAGGTTTCATTAAAAAATGAAACATCATCGACGATTTCTGTAATAATTGCTTTCCCGCACTCTTTTACCTTGAGGGAAAAGCGGAAGATTATGACTCATTTTTCTGCCTTAAAATTGGAGTTCAAGGTTGGATTGTGTCTTTTGCCTCCATATGATTTTTTAACTTTGTACGCATTTCTCTCTAATCAAAAAAAAATCGTTTTTTTTCAGAAATCATGAGGATTAGGGACCTAGACGCAATGGCGCGTTAGATAAAATCCACACATTGACGAAATGAAAATAAAAGAAGGAGAAAAAACATCCAAGTATCCTTAAAATAAAATCTCAATAAATAAGTGCCTACTCAAACTTCATCCCAGACTTTTTCCTTGGAAGCATAATTTTCATGAGCATCATGTATATTACTTAGCTCAGATTTGAAGAGAGAAAAGAGAAGATGGGGAAGACCAAAAATCTGATTTTTGGAACTCAGTCAGTGCCGATCTACGTTAACAAAATCTAAGAGAAAGGTTCAAGAAGATGAATAATCTTTCACTTTTTTTAAAATTACCAAAATGTCTCTCCCTTTAAATATATTACGCATATTATAACGTCTTTGTAGAATATAAGAGGGTTTTTTTTAATGGCCGTATAGCTATGCGGAGGGGTAGTCCTAGCCTTCTCCTCCTCGCGAATTGTCAACTTTTCACCTCTGCTCGTTTGGCCAGGTTTCTCGCACGTGCCACCGTGCCTTTCCTCTTTTTAACTTTTCTCTGTTCCTTCCCATACCTGGAAGGCTTATGTTTTTATTTATTCGTGTATCATTGTATCTAGAGAAAATAGCTAAGCCGTTATTTGCTCATAAAACCAACGCGCATTAGAAACAAATCACTGAAATTCAAATACCCAACTAAAATTCTTGTGATCCTCACTCGGTATTGAGGGCATCCTTTTTATCCACCCTTGTTCCATTTTTCCTGACAACCACTTGGAGGAATGTCTTGAGCATGTCGATGTTCATCGATTTGCCCCACCGGCGAGGACATGTGACCATGACGACATCTGACGGACTTTCGAGGAAGTCCTTGATGAAGAGCGTCTTGTCCACGAAGATCTCCGAGTTGAGGACTAATTTTGTGAAGTTGCTGTGTCCTACTGAGATGAAGGGGTCAGCTCGGTTCTGGTATTTCTTGAAAACGGATGCAGCGACGTCATTGGCGAAGTAAACTAGGGCTTGGAGAATGAAGCAGCTCAATTTAGACATTTCTTATACCAGTAAGAAAGTAAGTCACGCCTTGCTGGAAAATGAAATTAAAAGGCGCATGAAGTGAAACCCTGAGCTGATCCTGATTTACTCGTGAGTTAAGAAAGAAATCAAAGCCTGATTTCCTCTACGTTTGAAATCAGATCCTGATTTCGCCACGACTGCGTTGTTTGAGTGGAAATCTAGAGGAAGAAGAATTAACACGAAGGAGGTACTTATGAAGGCTACGCACATAACTATTTCGCCTTCAATTTTCGAAATATGCAAGAGAGCATCCCCTGTGCAGTGATAGTTATCTATTCGAGGATTTGGCTCGTGCTGTCAACGAGTTGCCTTGCGGTAAAATAAAGTTTAGCTCCAATGCGACGATGTTGATGGTAGCTCTATTTATCTGTTCACGTTCTTAAGATCTATCATAAATTTGTAAACAAATACATCCACCAAAAAAAATTCACCGCCAAGCATCTTTACGAAACCAATGCAGTGTTTCTCAAGCGAATTTGGGGGAAAAAACGCCCCTATTCTCCCGATTAATAGATGATTTGCTCATACTATTTTGTCATACGAACAAGGCCGGATTAAGGGAGTGGCCACATGGGCCGCGGCCCATGGCGGCAAAATGTAGGGGGCGGCAAATTTTGCAATCTTTTGAATGTAGGTATCAAAAAAAGAGAGAAAAAAATCGGATTCAGAAAATAAATTACAAACGAGAAAAGGCGAACAAATCTCTCATTTCATGAGAGTAAAAGTACAGTAATTTCTAATTTTGTCGTCTTTCGGAGAAACAAGAGACAACACCTTTAATTGGTCGAGATAAGAGAGAAACCAAACACGCAATTTGACCTGGAACGGAGCGGCGCGGTGGTCGGCATGAAACGCATAGCGCCTACAAGACTACATGAATACTTCACGCATTGCGTCAAACACACTGCGGTCAGCAGCGGTCGGCGTGAAACGCATAGCGCCTACAAGACTGCATGAATACTTCACGCATTGCGCCTCGGTGCGCATTATGCGGTCGGTGCAGCGGCGGAGATTAAAATTACTAACCACATTTATATTTGTTCTTTCATAATTTTTTCGTTCGTTTTTTATAAATGGAAGGCCTTGTCGAAACAGGGATGGGTTTACAGAACTGAACTTTTGTTAGTGTTGACAGGGCTTTCACAAAAAATGTGCCCAACACCAGTAAACGTGTCTCATACACCCCTCCCCCACTGGCACGTTCACTTGATGGTTTTTATAGATCGTATTTGACAGATCACACAGGTGAGATTATATTGATATCGATGGGTTCAATATGTAACCGCAGCCTCAGAAGTCAATTTAGAAATCTGAGGTAAAGGGTCTTATGTGATCGAATTTTTATTCTCTCGAGTACCAAATGTCAATGAAAAGTGAAATTGTTAGGAATTTTATCAATTCCAGCTTTTCCAAATTAAATCCTAAAATTTTGGTTTGAGGTTATGTTCTATTGTTTTGAACCAAACGATACATCGAACCACTGTCGAATACGATCTATTGATGTTTCAAAACGAATGAGAAGGGTTCGAACAAATACAGGTAGCCCATGGGCGGCAAGTAGGTAAATCCGGCCCTGCATACGAACAATTTAAATGTGAATCGAAGGTGAAGGGATGATCGCGATCCGACCTATAACTTGATGCTGATAAGTTAGCAAGTTGACTTTTATATTTTTAAACTGTTCACTGCGTCAATTTCTTTTGTAACTTTCTCAAATATTTTAAGTGCAAAGAGTAGTGATTTTATCATCAAGTAGGTCTGATTATGCGCATATAAATCGATGCAAATTTACAAGGTCACGATCACCGTTTACAACTTTACAAATTTCCTGCCCCGTTAATTTTTTGAAGGGCAACGTCTAGAAGTTCGTGTAATTTCTTGCTTTTTCAAAAATATTTTTGAAAATATTTTGACAAGAAAGTCGGTGAAATTGTCTTTGGACTAGTCAGACTTACCTCCACTTAGATTTGGAGAAGAGATACTTCTCTCTTGATTCTTGTACGTAAAAAAAGTGACATCTTTATTTGGGAACTTCAAAGACAATAATATGATAGCGTCAAGCATCCACGCACTTAGGTATGGACTCCGTGTTATCAAAAATGAATTAACCCGAAAATAAAATTCGAGCAACAGGATGCTGTGATGTAAGCTCAGATTGGGCCGTTCAAGTTTCACCGGATTGGCTTCCAAACGGCGCGGCACGGTAAGAGTTTGAATGTGTCTATGTATTTTTATATCGATTTGTCAACATCGAAAACCATATATTTCAACTTAAGATGTTGCATATAACCCATTGTACTGAGTTCTTTTATGAGAGGATTTGAATGAAGGTCAGATGGAGATACGCGTGTTTCGGAAACGATGGGCTGTGCTATTCAGGTCATAAAATTTCGAAAATGGTTGAATTTGCGAGAACCTTATATTTCTGAACGAACGATTTGTATTAATATTGCTTGGATAAAAAAAAGAAAAAAAAGGGAAAAAAATCGTACTATTAAAATTCTTGCCATTATCAGAAAATCTACACTTCTATTCATTGTTTTAGACGTGCATTATTGATTTTGTAAAGTAAAAGGAGCCGGAAACCTACTTGGGACGATGATAAATTTTGGTGAGACTGTACAACGCAGGGCTGGAAAGCGGAAGTGCGGCCGTGTGGCATTGTCGCGTTCTATTAATCCGGCTGGACTTGCTAAGGAGAAGGGATTTCCCGAGGGAATTCTCTTTTTCGTTTTTTCTACCCGTCACCGCCGGCCGACAACTTCCACTCACCAGTCACCAGTCAACACGCTAAGATGCACAATAAACTACGCATGCATGCCCAGACTGGGTCCTGTCCATATACAGGGTGCTACCGCGCCGCGACACGAAAGTGGCCACGTCTCCTGTCACTACCAGAGACAATTTCAAACACCCCGCTTTAGCAATTTAAGCAATACAATTTTACCTGGTCTCCATCCTGCAATTAAGGTGCGTTTATAGTTCCACGTATCAACGCCACTTCGATAAACTTAAGATTAATTACGAGCTTTGTACTGGTATTTAAAAAAATCAACTTCCAATACATAACTTCTTAGCAATGGTAAATAAGCATATATCAATAATATTTTATTGAATTTTGATGTTAAGCAGCCCAAAAATAAGGCCTAAATTAAGGTTAAAAACGCTCATCGTCCGATTTTCGATATTGATCCATGATATCTTTTCAGTCGTCCTGATGACTTCATTTTTTCTGGAGAATTTATTTCAAAATCCATCGTATACTTATTCCTGATACCTAGATTTACTCTCTTTCAATCCGATTTTTTTTCCTAACGAATTGTTTTTTTTTCCATACATGAATTATTACATTCGTGCAAGGGAGCCTCTAAGGAAGACTACGGTGCACGTCGGATACTCCTACATTGAAATATGTTTCTAAAACGTATACCAAGATACTGCATAATGTATCATATGATAGCAAGCTACCCTGCAGTTCTCTGGTTGAATAAATTTTGTATTGACAAAATTAGACAAAATAAATGTACATAGTTGAATACAGGAGATCGCACTGTACGCTCAACATATACTGTGGTCAGGATTCCCGGAGTTTCCGGAAGACAATGGATCCCCTTTACTTGTGTACTTATACGGTTATCCCAAAAAACTAAATTTAACAAATGAAACTATACGATGCACAGCAACGTAATGGTTGTCTACGTATTCGTCAAATTTTGACATGGTTTGGTGATCCCGTTCCCAACTTTTGATGAATGGATCGCCACTGTTGGTGATTTGGCAACCCACCTGGCGATCTACGAGTAATTGCCAACCTGGATGATCGAATCGCCAATTTCTACTGGCTGCACTCCACTCCGTTGACATCCATTCTCTTGCTGTTGATGTCAATCGACATCATCCTGTGCTCATCACCATCGACTTATAACGATAAAAATGTCAACAGAGTTACTTTTTCGGTCAGATAATTTTTCAACGCCCTGTATCCTCCAAAAGAATAAGTTGCGTCAATGTGACTGTACCGATGCTCTCTAACCTCTGAGCGGTCTTTGTTTCCATTAGGTTACCCGTTGTTTGATGTGGAAAATTATTCAAGTGGAAGTTTGTCAGTCTTGACTTCCACCCCTCCCGAACCCTTTTGCCCCTCTTAGTTTATGCTTTTTTGGTTTTTTAGAGGTTTCACTGCCTTGCGTGTGTTCGGACAGGTAGGGGTGCATGTTGACTGGAAGAAAGCAGTACCTCATGCACAACCATGGTGAGTCCGAACTTCGACTGCTCAGCCACGAAGTTTCTACGTTGTCAGATTTAAGAAAATAAATAATTCTAGGTATCGATGGTCAAAGTCTCTCAGCGAAATCTCAAAAGATTCTCAGCGACCATCGGATAATGTCGGATTTGTCTGAACTATTCGAATAGATTTTATAGGTACACATTTGATTGAAAATAACTCGAATTAGTGAAATTTCCGCTGTTGAGCGCTGACGGTTGACTATCACATTCAGCTTCCAAATTCAGCGTGTGATTGCGGCATAAGTTGATGGGGGCAAAACAAAACTAAGGAGGAATAGAGTTATGTGATTGGGCAGCTTTATAATCATTCTCTTCATCGTGTCTACGTCTATAGTGAAATCAATGACATACTGAAAGGACCTTTTGAGTTACCGATAGTATTGGGTACTCAAAGGGCCGGATTTAGGGGGTGGCCAGATGGGCCGCTGCCCATGGTGGCAAATTACGCAATTTTTTTAAATGTAGGTATAAAAAAAATTACAAACGAAAAAATGCGACAAAATTCTTCATTTTCTGAGAGTATAATGATTTCTAATTTTATCGTTTTGCGGTGATACAAGAGACAGCACATTTAATTAGTCGAGTTATGAGAGAAACCAAACACGCAATTTGGCCTGGAGCGGCGCAGAGCAGATGACGNAGGTGGAAAAAAACTCGCTGAAAGCGAATTTTAGCAATCAACACAACTTGACGTAGAGACATGATTGGCTAAAAAATACAACGGTTTTTGATACATCGGAAAATCAACCAAAAGTCGGAGACTGGGCGAAACGCTCAAGGTCGCAGAGGTATAGGGAATCCCATTGCGAAAGCAACGGAACGATTCTAATATCATGGGGAACTCCGTTCCCATGACAAAAATGCGACAAAATTCTTCATTTTCTGAGAGTATAATGATTTCTAATTTTATCGTTTTGCGGTGATACAAGAGACAGCACATTTAATTAGTCGAGTTATGAGGGAAACCAAACACGCAATTTGGCCTGGAGCGGCGCAGAGCAGATGACGAGGACTTGAGATGAAAAGGAGAAGCCCTCGGCTCGGAGGTCGGCATGTAACACATATTAACGCCTACAAGACTGTTGGAATACTTCACGCATTGCGCCAAACATAGTACGATCAGCGCGGCACGGCAGTGGAAGTTAAAATTATTAAACTTCATTAATGTTTGTTCTTTCATAATTTTTTCGTTCATTTCTTATAAATGGAAGGTCTTGTCCACTTAGAGAGAGGTTTACGTAACGTAACTTTCACGCCAAGTTCCGTGAATTTTTGCTAGTAGTGTTGACAGGGCTTTCGCAAAAAATGTGTCCAACACGAGTTAACGCGTCTTATGCATCCCTCTCGCTCCGGCACGTTCACTTGATGGTTTGTATCGATGTTTCAAAACGAATGAGAGGGGGCGGGGCAGCCCATGGGCGGCAAGTAGGTAAATCCGGCCCTGACCGATACTTTGCTGTCAGAACAGAACCACGCGAAGGAGGTAGGCACGATGAAGAAGGTGGCTGTTAAATTTGACCAACCACTTAACTCCATTCTTCCTTAATCTTGCCTTGTCCAATCGACAGACACAAAATTTCAAAATTCAAGTTGCCGGGTATATATCTAAATTTCGTACTCTTTGGTCCTCCATGACGAATCCGGCGGCACAGCCAGCGGGCCGATCATTGAGATTGATAGACAATGCTATAGACAAAGAAGAAAAACGGAGTATGGAGGAATCCTATTATTCCTATTGGTGGAAGCAGGTGGTTGCAATGGACAAAGGAGGTACGTAATAGATTAACAGAACTAACGGCAACCCACGAGAGACTCTACGGTAAGTCCATCATTTTCTTCCTTGGTCTACAAGAACCAACCATTTCAACCGATAGGATCGCTACATACTCCCTACGTCTTCTTTGTCTATAGCTTCGACTATCAATTTCAATAATCAGCCCGCAGGATGGAGCTTTTGGCGGCAGCGAAGACGAAGACGAATACTTGAGGAGCGGAACCCGCGAGAGATTCTACAGTAAGTCCATCATTTCCTTCCTTCGTCTGTAAGAACCAACCATTTCAACCGATAGGATCGCTACATACTCCCTATGTCTTCTTTGTCTATAGCTTCGACTATCAGTTTCAATAATCAGCCCGTAGGATGGAGCTCTCGGCGGCAGCGAAGACGAAGACGAATACTTGAGGAGCGGAACCCCCGAGAGACTCTACAGGAAGTCCATCAGTTTTTTCCTTCGTCTATAAGAACCAACCATTTCAACCGATAGGATCGCTACATACTCCCTACGTCTTCTTTGTCTATAGCTTTGTCTATCAATTTCAAGAATCAGCCCGCTGGTCATGGATGGGGCTCTTGGCGGCAGCGAACACGAAGACAATCGTCCTCGTGTGTGTTCCTCAAGTGTTCACTTGAGTAGCGGAACCCGCGAGAGACTCTACAGTAAGTCCATCATTTTTTCCCTTGGTCTATAAGAACCAACCATTACAACCGATAGGATCGCTAGATACTCCCTATGTCTTCTTTGCCCATCGCTTTGTCTATCAATTTCAAGAATCGGCCCGCTGGTCATGGATGGAACCATTTCAACCGATAGGATCGCTACATACTCCCTATGTCTTCTTTGTCTATAGCTTCGACTATCAGTTTCAATAATCAGCCCGCAGGCTGGAGCTCTCGGCGGCAGCGACGACGAAGACGAAGACCTGAGGAGCGGAACCCGCGAGAAAACCACGAAACCGCGTCGAGGACGGGGAGACGACAGCCTCCACCACGTCCTCGACGGGTCCACGTCTTCCTCGGAGCGGAACGGGGACGGGGTCCGGACCGCGGACCTAGTGGTCCTGCTGGAAACTCAACACCGCCGAGTCTCGGGTCTTGTCAATGGCTCCATTGTCAACATGAGCTGACGCGATACAAGTACTTGTACGGTATCCACTTGCACGCGGCCAAGCGTGAGTAATCAAGACCGCACCAACCACCGCGAGAGAGCCGCGTCGCCGCACCCGAATGCTCCCGTCCCGGGGAAAAACCACGTATGAACCATCGCATGTAGTCCAAATCCTCTTAGTAAAACACTTTTTTTAGTATAATTAGGAATACACATAAATAAATCGTGGGAGAAGACGCAGAGGGCGCCCAATGAAAGGTTGGAGGGAAGGGATTGAAGCGGAAATGTTAAGGTGCTCAATCCCCCAAGATTTGTGGTTTGAAAGAGAGCAGTGGAGGTTAGGAGTCGTAGAGCGCGAGGGAGTGCTGTAAAGCGACTTATGTATGTATGTAGGAATACATCAAATTTTACTTTGATGGTTTTTGAGAACCATCAAGGTCACTGGGTCGCAGATCACAGTCTGAGTGAAATTTACTAAAAAATTCAAAGGTAATAAATTCATGAGTTTTCCTGATATATGAACTTTATTGGATGAAATTTGGCAACGTCCAAGGGTTCGTACGGTGTGTTTCCTCCGTATGGCAAAATCCGCGTCTTACACATATCCGCCGCGGTCGCCGGTTCACCACCCACCGCAAAAGCAAAGACGCGACCGACGCGATCCGCGCACAGAGAGGAAAGTTTGCTGTGCTAAGGAAAAACGCCGTAACAGTGTTCAGATGTTGCCAAGTGTCTTCTCATAAAATTTGAATATTCATGAATATGGCTATGGGAAGACGATATGCCATGATTAGCGGATCCAGA